AGTATACAACTTTATTTTCAGTCACTTCTATTTCCTTGGTTATGAACAAAGGTGGCAAAGTGCGTTGTATCAGCAGCCCCAATAGAAACCACAGAGCTTTTCATATCCCTTTACAGTTTGCCACAGGTATCTTTAAATATCATTTATACTCATCTCTACTTCAGTTTGCCATTGCTTAATAGGCCCACCCCTAGATCTTGTTATTCAATATGTTAATAAAGAAATCTGTGTGCATACCATCACATTACACTTTTTTTTTTTTTTTTTTTTTGAGACAGGGTCTTGCTCTTGTTACCCAGGCTGGAGTGCAGCGGCATGAACTCGGCTCACTGCAACCTCTGCCTCCCAGGTTCAAGCAATTCTCCTGCCTCAGCCTCCTGAGTAGCTGGGATTACAGGTGCCCACCACCACATCCAGCTAATTTTTTTGTATCTTTAGTAGAGACAGGGTTTCTCCATGTTGGTCAGTCTGGTCTCGAACTCCTGACCTCAGGTGATCCACTTGCCTTGGTCTCCCAAAGTGCTGGGATTACAGGTATGAGCCATCATGCCCAGCTCATGAGACACATTTTTAAAATATTATGACAACTATATATCAATATAACTAGCTTACTTTGTACTCCTACATATTTTATGCGTATAAAAATATTATTCTGAAATTATCTAGTGGTGCATGCCTGTAGTCCCAGCTACTTGGGAAGCTGAGGTGGGAGGCTCACCTGAGCTTCAGGATGTCGAGGCTGCAGTATGCCATGAGTTCACCACTGCACTCCAGCCTGGGAAATGGAGTGAGGCCCTGTCTCAAAAGAAAAGAAAATATTATTTTGAGAAGTGATCCATGGCACAAAAAATGGCCGAGAGCCCCTGGCTGAGAGGGTCCCTGTTGACGCTCATGTGCCACCCACCCAGAGTGAGGGTAGCTGTCCAGCTGAGCAGGGGCCTCGCAGGAGGAATCAGAGCAGGAGAATCCCTGGCACCACCCTTGCTCCAGGACATACCCCTGGGCGCTCAGTAAAGAAGTGGGGACAACTTGCTGCCATCTTCGGTTTGATGGAATGACCTTAGGCCTCTGCTGCCCATTGTGAAAGAGGAAAAGTCACCAGCCTCTTACCAAAAAGCTCAGGGAGATTTATGGAGAATGTGGATATAGCACAGAGTTCACTGTGGAAAGAAGGAAGAGGAGCCTCCCAGCATTGGATCTTAGGGAATTGTTGCAACCAAATTTAAGGATGCAAAAGCCAAGAGTTGGGAAGAGATTCCTCCCGTCTCAGCTGTGGTTGCAGCACTGCTCAGGGCCATGGAAAAACAGCTTTCCACATCCTAGCAGACAGCAAAAGCTATTTCAATGTGCCAAGTGAAAGTTGAGCCATGTCCTCATCCAAACTAGCCTCCAGCCTTGCACAGGCAGCTCGGGGCACCGGTGCACACTGGGCTCACCCTTATGGGGGCTGTTCCTCCATTTCCATCTCCCCTTGAGCTGCCCCTCACTTGGAGCAGCGCCACCCCAATCCAAGGCTGTCTGTTCTCATGGATGACTCAGGCCCCAGCAAAAATACCTTCTGTTCCTCAAAAGAGGGAATGGAGGGCACGCTTACTGTTAGGAAATGTACCTCACCTTGCACTGATCTCTCTGTTAAGATCTTTTAAGCTTCCTGATCTCTCTGTTAAGATCTTTTAAGCCACCCCATCAGCCACAGAACAAAGCCCATCCACCAAGAGTACCTGAGCCCAAATCCCCTCCCCTCCCCACCGCCAGCTCCTCTGCCCCCCGGGCAGCGGGAGAAGAGACTTGTTTCCTATCACACAGGCCATGTAACTAATGGGCAAGACCCAAACATGTGGAACCCCCACCCCACCCCCACTCCTCCACCCCCAACTTTGCACTGCTGAGCATCTCCACTAGGTTTTGAAGAAACTTCCCAGGTTTGAGAAAACTCTGTGGGAGTGGGCTGAGGTTTAATTCTGAAGTGGGGACGACTTGGGGAGACACCAAGGGATGATAGGGAGGGTCTGGGAGTCTGAGAGAACAGAGATGATTCAGGAGAGCAGCTCAAGGTAAGCCTGGGGATGCCCACTTTCTGCTTCCTGCTGTGTTCTCTGCCACCTTCCAGACAACAGTGGCCGTGTCAGGGCAAAGAAGTGACCAAAAGGCCTCTGGGACATCATTCACTCACTCATTATTCATTCATTCATGCACAGATACTTGCTCACTGTGGGCAAAGGGAAGGGGAGGCCAAACCACACACCACTGTAAATGCTAGAACAGCTGCCTGGAGGGAGGCCTAATGTAGAGCCCTGAAGGCCAAGGACAATGAAGAGGAGCATGGAGGGTCTTCCACACACAGGCACTAAAAGAAGGCTAAGCCTGCTTGGAGAGAGGCAGTATCTGGACCTGTGCATTGGGCTGCACTGGGCCAAAAAGGCTATGTGTCATGTATTGGGGGAGAAAATGGGTCCTGTGGTTAAGTATATCTGGGAAGTGCTGAATTAAATGAGTTGAACGAATCTCTTTACTGCAGGACTTACCAACACCTTTAACCTGTGAATACAGAATGAACCTTGTGGTGGACTCCAGGACTGGTGTCCCATGGGCAGGCCACACTGACCTAAGGACTATGGGAGGCAATAGGAGCTGATGTGATTAAAGAGAACACAAGGGGTTTTGAAGGCCAGGCCAAGAAGGCTGGACTTTTTCCTTGGGACAGTGAGGATTCTCAGCAGGAGACTTAGAGGGACTCGGACTCAAGGAACCTGCAGCAGTTCAGTAACCAGCAAGGTCAAGGCTGGGGCAGGACAGAGCCAGTCCCTGTCAAGGACTCCCCAACTCCTTGACAGCAGGGTCATTCTGTGGGAGAGAAAACGGAGACCATGGACACAGCCAGCAGTAAGGGTCTCAGCGAGACTGGCGAGAAGGGAAGGCTGGGCAACCCTTGAATCCAAGCTGGGCGCAGGTCAAGCCTACTTGGGTTCCAGTCCTGACTCTACCACTTCCTAGCTGTGGGTCAGACGTTGGAATCTGACCCAGTGTCTCTGGGGCCTCAGGGTATTTGTTGTTGTTGTTGAGATGGAGTCTCACTTTGTCACCCAGGGTGGAGTATAGTGACGTGACCTCGGCTCACAGCAACCTCCACCTCCCAGAGTCGAGCGATTCTCCTGCCTCATTCTCCTGAGTAGCCTGTAATCCCAGCTACTCAGGAGGCTGAGGCAGGAGAATCACCACACCTGGCTAATTTTTGTACTTTTAGTAGAGACGGGGTTGATTTCACCATTTTGGCCAGGCTGGTCTTGAACTCCTGACCTCAAGTGATCCACTTGGCTTGGCCTCCCAAAGTGCTGCGATTACAGGCATGAGCCACCATAACCAGCCTTGTTGTTGTTAATTTTTGTTGTTGTCCCGCTGTGTCGCCAGGCTGGAGTGTAGTGGCTCCACTGCACTTGGCTCTCACTACAACCTTCGTCTCCTGGGTTCAAGCAATTTGCCTGCCTTAGCCTCCCAAGTAGCTGGGATTACAGGCACCCGCCACCACACTCAGCTAAGTTTTGTATTTTTAGTAGAGACGGGGTTTCACCATGTTGGCCGGGATGGTCTAGATCTCTTGACCGTGTGATCCACCCACCTCAGCCTCCCATAGTGCTGTGATTACAGGCGTGAGCCACTGTGCCTGACCTTGTTTATTTTTTAGAGCAGTTTTAGGTTGACAAAAAGTACAGAGGTTCCCACGTACTCCCTCCCCTTCCCTCTCCCCAATTTTCCTGATTAGTATAATTTTGCATTAGTATGGCACAATTGTTACCATTTATGAACCAATACTGATACATTATTATTAACTGAAGTCCATAGTTTACTTGAGGGTTCACTCTGTGTTATCCAGTCCTACAGACTGTAACAAATACACAATATGTATCCACCATTACAGTGTCATACAGAAGAGTTTCAAGGCCTTAAAAACGCTGTCTGGGCCTGCAGGGTAGCTCATGCCTATAATCCCAGCACTTTGGGAGGCCAAACTGGGAGGATCACTTGAGTCCAGAATTTCAAGACCAGCCTGGGAAACAGAGAGAAACCCCATCTATACAAAAAAGAAAAAAATTGCTTTAATTAGCCACCTGTAGTCCTGGTACACCTGGGTGGCATACACCTATAATCCTAGCTACTTAGGAGACTGAGGTGGGAGGATGGCTTGAGCCCAGGAGGTTGAGGTTGCAGTGAGCTGTGATTGTGCCACTGCACTCCAGCCTGGGAAGCAGAGCCAGATCCTATCTCAAAAAAAAAAAGCTGTCTGAGCCTTCGTTTTCTGTTTTAACACCTGTAAGATGAGTGTGAAGCTCCATCTGAAGCCCCTCAGCCTCCTACTGTAGGTTTCTGATTAAGGCCTCTCAACAAATCAAGTGGGGCTGAAATCCACTGAATGTCTCCAACTATGGTCTGATATCCATCAGCATCACTAGGCTTGGGTCAGGGCTAGAGGGCCTCATTCAAATGCACATTCTAAGGTCTCAACTCCAGACCTGCTGAGTCACAAGCCCTGGAATGGGGCCCAGGAATCTGCATTTTAACAAGTCCCCTAGTGCACAGGGAAGTTGAAACCCACTGTGCTCCTGACAGCTTGTGCACATGGAAATTTCTGCCAGAGTTTCTCAGATTAAAAACATAGAGGTTCTAGCCACTGGCAGGTCAAAGCTCTGGAGAGCCAGGCCATCTCCCAAAGGGAGCAGAATGGTTGCCATCAAGCCAGGCAAGAGCCCATTTCTGCCTGTGCAGCTCACAGTCTCCAAGCCTGCTGTTGTTTCATATCTTGGTTGCTTATCACTCACCCAAAATAACCTGAATGCAATCTCACCAGCTGCAGCTCTCTCCGCAACTCCCTTAATTTAGCAGCCAAACACATTTGGTTCCTTAACAGAGCACTAGGCCTCAGCACCAGGCCCAGAAAGGGGCCCTCCCTCCCAGCTATGTGTAGTGAGTCGAATAGTTTGCCCCCGGAATTCATGTCCACCTGAAACCTGAGAATGTGACTTTATTCGGAACTAGAGCCTTTGCAGGTGTAATTAATAAGGATCAAGATGCGCTCATACAGGATTAGGGTGGGCCCAAAATCCAATGATTGTTGTTCTTAAAAGAGGAGAGAACGGAAGAGACAGAGACTGGAGGAATGCAGCCCAAGCCGGGAATGCCACCGTCTGCCCACTGCCACCATGAGCTAAAAAGAGCCAAGGAAGGATTCTTCCCCGGAGCCTTCAAAGGGAGCACGGCCCTGCCAACACCTCCAGCCCAGATTTCCAGCCTCCAGAACCATGAAGGAATCAAGTTCTGCTGTTTCAAGCCATCCAGCTTGTGGAAATTGGTTAGAGCATCCCTAGGAAACCAAAGCAGCCCCCCGGCCTGGCTCAGCACCTGCTCAGCCCCACTCCAGCAGAAAGGAAAGACCCCCCACTGCAGGCGATTCTCCAGATGGGCAGTTTAATGTGGCCCATTAGAATCAGAGTTATTTTCTCCCAACCAGCATTTGAATTCTGCATCTACTAGGCCCATTTCCCACTCAAGGAGAAGGACTCTTCCTGTCCTCTGCTCGAAAGGCTGTATTCCAAGAAGGGCTGAGTTTGGTAGTGACAAATAAATACTGGTCCTTGGGTAGTGTCTGGCTGGCAGTGCCATGCAAGATGAGTCCCTACAGCTTCATGCCACTCCGGCGCCGCGAGTCCTTCCGGGCAATGGGGCTGAAGTTCACAATCTCCTTGTAGATGTGCTCTGAGAAAGGCAGCATGGTTTAAGGTGGCAAGAAGGTGCTGAGGGCGAGAAGTCCACCCCGCTTCAGACAGAGCACAGAGAGCAAAGTCAGCTCAAGGAGAAAGAAGCCCACAGGAGACAATGCCCATCAAGAAGGAAGGGGCAGGAGCCTCAGGTGGCAGGTAGGGCTGGCAGAGGCCAGGCACAAAGACGGAGGAGGCAAGGAAGAGAGGCTGTGAGTGGAGGCGAAGAAGCCCAAGGCCCCAGCTCTTACGCTTCCATTCATCCACTGTGAGTTTCTCGTGTTCTAAGGAATCATCAAATGGATGCTGGGCCTCCGTTTCTTCCTCAGGGTCCCGGAAGGGTTCAAAGAAGGGATGGGCAAGGGCCTGCGCGGCTGTCAGGCGCTTGTCCACGTCCAGCTCCAGCATCTTCTCCAGCAGGTCCACGGCTGCAGTGGCAGAGCCGTGAGCCTCACACCAGGCTGGGGAGAGCCCACCCGTGGGGGTGTGCTGAGAGGCCCCTGGGGAGCGGACCCTGAGACTCACCCTGGGGGCTGGCCTGTGGGAAGAGCTGAGTGAAATCCTTCTTGGGGCTCTGTGGCAGGGCCTGGATGTAGGATTTGGCCTGGAAAACAGAAGAGCATCAAATCCCTCAGGGCTCTGGCCTTAGTGCATAGAGCAGGAATTTCAGAAAAGCCTCAGAGCAGGGCTAAAGGCTCAGGTCACAGTCCATGGTGAGATGAAGACAAGAGCGCCTGCAGGGTAGGAGGATGCTGTGGGAAGGTGCTGGCGAGCCGTCTTCCACAAAGGCCTCCAGTCCACCAGGCCCACGTCAGCCAAGCACACAGCCCAGGCCACCCTAGGTCCCATTTACCACCCACCGCTTTGTCTTTCAGCTTCTGCACAAACTCTGTGCCTGGTACCCCGGTCACTTTCAGGATCTGGCTCAGCTGGTCCAGGTCTTGATGGCAGGTTAAGGCTTAGCTTTGCTCTCCTTGTGGGTCTGAGACTGCCCTTCCCGTGATCCCACCATCACTCCACCTGGGCACTGTGGCAATGGGTCGTCCAGACTCCAGCCCTGCCTAACCATCTCCTGCTCTCAGGAGGAGGCTCATTCTCCAGGGCTCAGGGCTCCAGAGGGCCTTCCAACATGGCAGGCTGAGCGAGGGTCCCTACTCAACAAATGCATGTGGATTTCTCAGCTTTCATCCCACTCAGTCATTCTTTTTTGTTTCCTTGTCTTCTGTCTAAAGGCCTGCCCTGCACACACAGGCACTCAATTCATGTGGATGGTGCCAACATGTATTTTCCATAGTGGTAGAATTATAGGTGACTCATTTCTCATCATTTTGCTTATCTACATTTTTTTTTCCTTTTGAGACAGGGTCTCACTCTGTCACCGAGGCTGAAGTGCAGTGGCACGATCTTGGCTCACTGCAACCTCCACTTCCTGGGTTCAGGTGATTTTCCTGCCTCAGACTGCTGGGATTACAGGCGTATGCCACCACACCCGGCTAATTTTTGTGATTTTTGGTAGAGACAGGGTTTCACCTTGTTGGCCAGGCTGGTCTCAAACTCCTAAGCTCAGGTGATCCACCCACCTCCGCCTCCCAAAGTGCTGGGATTACAGGCATGAGCCACCGCGCCCACCCGACATTTTCTTTTTCTTTTTCTTTGAGTTAGGTCTCCCTCTGTCTCCCAGGTTGGAGTGCAGTGGCACAATCATAGCTCACTGCAGCCTCAACCTCCCAGGCTCAAGCAACCCTCCTACCTCAGCCTCTCTAGTAGCTGGGACTACAAGTGCATGCCACCATATCTGGCTAATTTAAAAAAAATTTTTAGATATGGGGTCTCTGTTGCCATGTCTAGTCTCAAACTCCTGGGCTCAAATGATCCTCCCACCTCAGCCTCCCAAAGTGTTGGGATTACAGGCATGAACCACCTCATCCGGCCTTATCTGCATTTACAAATTATTCTACAGGGAGTATGTATCACTCTCACATTAAGAAAAAAAAAAAAAGACAGTTATTTAAATAAAGTGTCTGCTGAAGGAAGGAATCCCTAGATGGAGTTTGGCTTTTCCAGCAAAGGATACAATCTTTCCCCTTGAACAGAGTTTTCCCTGTCAGCATCTCCGCCATGATACAGCCGACAGACCAGATGTCCACTGCAGAGGTAGGGAGAGTGTCACCTGGGCTGTCTGACCAGGACCCGGCAGCCAGTCAGCGCTGAGTGACCAGATGGCCCCAGGACTGCCCTCTCAGGCACTGACCACTGACCAGTCTGGTTGTAGTGCATCCAGCTGAGGATCACCTCGGGGGCCCGGTACCAGCGGGTCACCACGTAGCCAGTCATCTCGACATCTGCAGGCCGTGCCAGCCCAAAATCCAGGATCTATGGCTCAGGGGATAAACGGAAAAGGAACTTGCAGAGGGGAAGAGGCTCTGGGAGCAGCTTCCAGAAGCGCCCCTTGGGGAGGGCTCATCCACCTCTGGGCTGAGCCTGTGGCCCACTCACCTTCAGTTCACAATCCTCGTTCACAGCCAGGTTGCCCGGCTTCAGGTCCTGGGGGGAGGACAGAGAGTGCGTGCTAGGCTGAGGCAGAGACGGAGCTAGTCTTAGCTCCACCACCACCCAGGGATGTGACCTCAGCCAAGCTCCTTCCCTTTCTGGGCCTCAGTTTCCTCATGTGTAAATGAGGGTTGGACTAGGTGTTCTCTTGGGGCCCATCCAGCTCTAAAATGTTCTTGCTTCTTGAAGCCTGAAACACTCAGCTCAGGGCTCACTGTGTCTGCAGCAATTTCCCCAGGAAGTCCCCTGGGACACACTGACTCTTTTGAGCAGGCCTTCCCTGGCCGTGGCTGGGTCTGAAAAACTCCACATTCTGTGCTCCTGGGAAGTGTCCTATCCCTCCACCTTTCCCACTCCTTCCCACCCCACTTCAGTCAGAGCATGGAGAGTGAAGTCAGCTCAAGGAGAAAGAAGCACCCGGAGAAAGAAGCACCACCAAGAAGGTGGGGCAGGAGCCTCAGGTGGCAGGTAGGGCTGGCAGAGGCCAGGCATAAAGATGGAGGAGGCAAGGAAGAGAGGCTGTGGGTGGAGGTAAGGCAGCCCGAGGCTTCCAGAGAGTCCCCCACCCAGGGATGGGACAGGGGCCTCTGAGGACCATGGCAGAGAAAGCACTCACCCTGTGCACGACCCCAGCTGAGTGGATGTACTGTATGGGAGAGAGAGAAGGGTGAGTCCATGGCCCAGCTTCTGCATCAGGCACTTCAGGCTGGCTCAGAAACCTCCGACCTGTAACAATGCGCTCCCTCCAGCCTCCCCAAACCTCAGGTCTCGACACCAAGGCATCCCCTCTGCCACCCTCCAAGTCCCCACCTACCTTAAGGCCTTTGAGCATCTGATACACCAGGTACTGGATCTTATCCTCACTGAACTCCATCCCCATGATCTTCTGCAGATCCGACTGCATGAAGGGCATCACCAGGTAGCTGGAAGGTGTGAGGGCTTCTTGGAACAGTCCCAGGTCCCACCTCAGCCCCAGGTCTGAGCTCAGAGGAGGGGCCTCAGGGCAGAACAGGGGCCAAAGAAACACCCTCCAGTGTACAAAAGCCAGCCCCACCTCAGCCAGCCAGATCACCGCACTGGCCTCTGGGCTCCTGGCTGTCAGCCTCCCATGGTGAGCCGCCCAGCTGGCAGTTGGAGCATGCTCTGGAAAGGTACATGGAGCTGTTTCTGCTCGTCAAAGGTACTCTCTCCTTGCCCTCTTCCACACCCCAGGGAAAGCCACAGCTAGGAGTTAGAAAATCTGCCAGTATTTCCTTCGGCTTCTGTCCAAAAACTGTATCCATCATGCCCAGCTGAGATGCCCCCAGAAACGAACATGTCTACCTTTCCAAGAAGGAAACCGTTCCCAGGAGGGTGGAAGGGGGAGATGGGGAGGCTATCACAGCCTCCTAGGGGATTGTAAAACAGAATGAGGCCAGCAAAATGTAACCGTTACTCAAAGTAGTAAAGCAAAGTCCAGGATAAGGACAAAAAAACTAATAAAAATTATAAAATAGGCCAGGGGCCATGGCTCGCACTTCCAACTCCAGTTCTTTGGGAGATGGTGTCTGGAGATAGCTTGAGGTGAAGAGTTCAAGACCAGCTTGAACAACAGAGGGACCTCATCTTTCTTTCTTTTTTTTTTTCTCTTTGAGATGAAGTCTTGCTCTGTTGCCCAGACTACAGTGCAGTGGAATGATCTTGGTTCACTGCAATCTCTGCCTACTGGTTTTTTGTTTTGTTTTGTTTTTTGTATTCTTAGTAGAGATGGGTTTTACCATGTTGGCCAGACTGGTTTCGAACTCCTGACCTTAGGTGATCTGCCCATCTTGGCCTCTGCAAAGTGCTGGGATTATATGCATGAGCTACTGTGCCTGGCCTGGACCTCATCTTTAAAAAAAAAAAAAATAGCCAGGTGTGGTGGCATGAGCCTTTAGTCTCAGCTACTCAGGAGGCTGAGGTGGGTGGATCACTTGAGGCCAGGAGTTCGAGATCAGGATGAGGAACATAGTGAGACCCCATCTCCATAAAAAAAAAAAAAAAAAAAAAGGCTGAGGCCGGGCGCGGTGGCTCACGCCTGTAATCCCAGCACTTTGGGAGGCCGAGGCGGGCAGATCACGAGGTCAAGAGATCGAGACCATCCTGGCCAACATGGTGAAACCCCGTCTCTACTAAAAATACAAAAATTAGCTGGTCGTGGTGACTTGCACCTGTAGTCCCAGCCACTCGGGAGGCTGAGGCAGGAGAATTGTTTGAACCCGGGAGGTGGAGGTTGCAGTGAACAGAGATTGTGCCATTGCACTCCAACCCGGCACCTGGCAACAGAATGAGACTCTGTCTCAAAAAAAAAAAGCTGGACATGGTGGCATACACCTATAGGTTCACCTACTCAGGGGGCTTAGGTAGGAGGATGGCTTCAGCCTAGGAGTTGGAGGCTGCAGTGCTTGTGCCACTGCACTCCAGTCTGGGGGACACAGCCCTATCTCTAGAATATCATAAATTAAAAATTAAAAAAAAGTTACCTTAAAAATTGTAAAATAGATTTATTTTTTGGAAAGGACATACTGGAGGCATCTCCAGGAGACTCTGGATGTTGGCAGCCCTCTCCTGCCCGACCACACACCCCGCTCCGGGCCTTACCATGCCTGGTCCCCTGCCGTGTCTTTCACCTCCACTCAGGCACTGGTTATTCCATCTTGGCCACAAACTTCCTGAAGCCTCTCTGTGCTACAACCACATTCCCTTTACTTTGCTTCTTCAATTGACCGCCCCTTCTCCCTCTCTCACCACCAAACTTCTAGAAAGGGTGGTCCGCACTCCTGGACTCACTGCCTTAACTCCCAGTCCTGAGTTAACCCGGTTTCTGCTTTCCTCCTACTGCCAGACCACTCAGCTCAAGGTCACCAGTGAATACCTGACAAACAAACCGAGACTCTCTTTTCTTCTTACCTGACCTTTGGTCAAGCCTGAAACTCCTTCTCAATTCTCTGCTGACTCCTCTGCCTCCAATCAGGCCCTCAGCTTCTTCCACCTGCTGATCCTCTTCGATCTCCTCTTTCATGTTGATATCTGAATCTACACTATCTTACCACGTTCTACAATCACCTTTCCCGGGCATCAGCTATCACCCATAGGTGATTATTCCAGCGCAAATCCACATCCCTAGACCAGACCTTCTTTTCCTGAGGTTCACATTTATTTGCAACTGTGATTAAACATCGGAATGAGTGTTCACAGACTCTTTAAAAGTAAAGTGTCTAAATGGAGCTCATTATCTTTCCCTCAAGGCTTGTTCTTCCCCCACCTTGTATTTCAAGCAGGACCGTGCACATCCCCCCACCTCTGCCACCTCCCTCAGCCACTGCGCCCCAACAGACTGAACATTGTGTTGGCCCTGCCTCCCAAATGGGGGCCTCAAGTCTGCTCTCGGTGTCCCATCACCTCTACTTTAGATCTCAGTCTGGGTCACTAACACTGACCTCCAGGCTCTCCCTCTGCCCCAGAGCTGCTTCCTACTACTTTCTTGCTGCTACCCAAGTGCATCCCCGAAATCCCATCTGAACACATCACCTCCCTGCTCAAAATCCCCAGGTCTTGAGGCTGCCTGTAGGACCAATCCAGACTCAGCTTTGGCCAAGCCAGCTGCTGGCCTCCACTCACCACACTGACTTCTCCATCTTGTCCAAATAGTCCAGTCTCATTCAGACACTGCACAGGCAAAGCTATACATTTTGCAACTGAATGTTCTGGTTCTGTGCCATTCTCTCAAACACACCCATCAGCCAGAGGCAGCCAAGGCTTCTTAATCCTTGCTTCATGCTAGAAAGAGCTCCAAGGTCCAGACTCACATCTGTGTCCCCAGGAAAGACGAGTTGGTGCTAACCCTGTGAGGACTGGCAGATGTGTCTTTATGGTGTTAAAGCTGGGTAAAAAGCAAAGTAGCTGTGTGGACTGCTCCCCGCAGTCAAGCAGCCACAAAGTCGTTCCTGCCTTTTCCTGTCTGTCTTTGGCTAAAAGCATCTTTCCAGAGAGAATCACACTTGACAGGCAAAGGCACAGGACTGGCAGGGAAGGAGGCTCTCCCTACCACACACGAAATAGAGACCCTGGACCTTCCCCCATCTTGCTCCCTAGCCTGCTAATGCCCCGAAACCCAGTGCAGCTCAACTCACAAGTCATGGAAGTTGCGCAGGGAGGACGCTGGGGTGAAGACATCCAGGAGCCCAATTACCTGGGGAAGAAGTCACCTATGAGGGCTAGAGAGATGCTGCCTTCTCCCACCTCCTCCTGGGCCCAGGCCATGCACAGGGCCATCCCCCCTTTCCTAATACACCACCTCCAGCAGGAGGCAGGTCTCCAACCTTCTTGGAAGCAGTAAAAAGGGCGGAGGCCTAGAGGAATCCCCTGGATTTGGAAGGAGTTTGCAATAAATGGTGACAGAGTCCGGCTGGGGAGAAGGGAAGTTGGGGAGAAGAATGAGGTGTGCTCATTGCTCTCAAGTCTGGTATTCAGGGCAAGCAATGAGACCCACTCTCAACTCACATAGGCAGCAGGAAAGCATGAAGGGAGGGTGGAAGGGAAAAAGGAGGGAACAGGGAAGAGGCTTTCCAGCCAGCAAACTCCCTGCCCCTGACCTCAGGTCTACAGCCACATCCATCCTTGCCTGTCACAGGGCTGGTTCAGAGCCAAGGGCAAGATCACCCTGGCTGGAGGCCAGAAGGAAGGGGTTTGCTGGAAAGGGATGGACTTAAAATGTACATAACATTTTGAAATCAGTCTTTGAAATGTCTGCCCTCCAATCTAGGTATCCTGGAGCAAAGCCTGGCTGCCAGGCCCCGAGCTGGGTCCCTGGTTGTTCAAGCTGCTTCTATCAGACATGATGGTCATGTGCTCAGAGCTGGAGCAATGCTGCCTAGATCGAAACCGCAGCTCTGGTACCAACTAACCACCTAACCTTCGATCCTTGCTGTGCTTTAGTTTCCCCATCTGTGACACGGAAGCAATAGTATTCCTGTATCGCCAGGACTAGACAAGTTCGTGTATGCCAAGCTCTCAGAACATAGGAAGTGCTCACTATGTGTCCATTGCTGTTGCTGTCATCAGGGTCAGGTGGACAGGACACTAACCAGGATTCTAGTCCCAGCTGGCCACAAGCTCTCAAACAGGGAACCAATTACAAAGTTCCCCTGTGCCCATTTTCTCGGTAGGATGAGACAGTCTGTACCTCACAAAGTGCATTCTGCCAAAAACACCCTTTGACCCCTTCCCGGAAAGTGGGCAGGGCAGGTCCCGGCACCCTCTCCTTTCGATACTGAGGCGAGAGGCCCCATCAGGGGAGCAGGGAGGAGACTGTCCCGAGCTCTCCGTACCGGGAGGCCCAGCCTGCGCCGCTCCTGACTCCCCAGGGCAGCCCCCGTCCCTGACTCCCCAGGGCAGCCCCCCTCCCGCTCCCCAGTGCCGCCTGCCGCCGCCTACGTTCTCATGCTGCATGTGCTTCAGCAGCTGCAGCTCCCGGTAGGCGCGCTTGGCGAAGATCTCGGACTGGAAGGGCCGGCTCAGCTTCTTGATGGCCACCTTCTCCCCTGACCGCTTGTCGATGGCCGAGCTGTCGGGCACAGGCAGGTCAGCATGCGAGGCTCTCCTCCTGGGCAGTATCTCCCAGGTCGCCCTCACCCCTCCCGCTGGGCAGCTGGACTGGGAGGGGACGCCCACCACCTAGAATATGGGGGAGCTGCGGGGCGCAGGGCAGGGGATGGGAAGCCAGGCAGGAGCCGGGAGAGAGGTACAGCGCCGGGGGCAGCAACGTCTCCTCGCGACAGGATCTCCCCCGACGGGCGGGAGGCTCAGTCTCCCTGCCACTTGGCGAGCCACTTCCCCGTCTTTGGGCCTCAGTGTACTCGTCTGCAACATGGAGGATCTGTCTGATGTACTCCGGGGCCTTGCAGGGGTACAGTCCTGGAGAGCCAGGCCCAGTCTCAACTCAACCCACAGAGACCTCACACAGCCGCCCGGTGAGAAAAGGGAGATGGCGGCTGGGTGGCCCGGGGGAGGGCGCTGGGCCTTGAGGTTCGCGGTACAGGTGGCGCTGGCTAGGGGCCCAGGGCGGCCGGGACGGAAAGGGGAGCGCACGGCGCCCGCCCCGCCTCCCCCCGAGCCCCTCGCGCCCCCCGCGCCCCTCATGCCCCATTGGCTCGGGTGTCTCACCACACGGCGCCATAGGCCCCGCTGCCGACGTGCGTCGGGGACACGTAGGTCTTGGGCAGCTCCCAGACGGTCTTGTTGACGTCCTGCTTGTAGAAGCCTTTTTTCCTGATGAGGCTCATCCCGGGCACCCGATCTCGGCGGCCCCGGCGTGGCGGCTGCGTTCGCGGCCCAACGGGCTCCCAGCGCCCCGGCCCCCGCTGCGCCCGCCTCGCGCCGCCCGCTCCTCCCCCGCGCGAGGGCGGGGGCCCCGGGCTGCGACGCTCCCACCTGCCGGCTAGTCCAGGTGCGCCGGGGCAGCCACGCCTGGGCCTGCCCAGCCCTGCGCTCCCGCGCTTCCGCCCGGTTTGACGGAGCCACCGCGGTAGGTCGCCCAGGCACCGGGTCGAGGCAGCCCTGCGGGACCCCGGTGCTTCCCGGCCGAGCGCTGGCCAGCGGCGGGGCTGGTGGGTCCCAACAGGAGCCGGGAGGCAGCGCCTCCCAGCTCCCTGCAGCCCGGATCTCCGTAGGAAGAGCTCCCCGGGACTGTGAAGACACAGGAAAGCAAAACAAAACCCCACAACCTCTTCCTTAGGGAACAAGTCAAACCTGCGGGAAAGAGCAGAACAGAGTAAGCCAGCACTTCTCACACTCGAGTGTACGCAGGAAGTCCCGGGCATTTTATTCGATTAAAATGCAGATCCCAACTCGGTAGGTCTGGGGTGGAGCGGAAATTCGGCATTTTCTAGCCAGCTCCCAGATCAGAGGCTTCTGGACCACATCTGGTAAGAGGTTCTCGTGAACCCCCGTACTGACCCCACTTCCTCAGCAACCTCAACTCATAATCAGTTTTATTTCATCTACATTCCTCTCCCACCATCGTTCTGAAGCAAAACCCAGAAGTCATATCATTTTATTCATAAATATTTTTGTATCTCTGCAAGGTAAGGATTTTTTAAAATCCACAATACATTCTTAAACCTAAAATTAATAGCACGAATTCTATAATGGCAAATATTCATGCAGGTTCAAATGTGCAGTTTTTTTTGTTGTTGTTTGAGATGGAATTATAACCCAGGCTGGAGTGCAGTGGCGCCATCTCAGCTCACTGCAACCACTGCCTCCCGGGTTCAAACAGTTATCCTGCCTCAGCCTCTCAAGTAGCTGAGGCCAACAGGCCATGCCACCACACCTGGCTAATTTTTGTATTTTTAGTAGAGACAGGGTTTCACCATGTTGGCCAGGATGGTGGTCTCCAACTCCCGACATCAGGTGATCCGTTCACCTTAGCCTCCTAAAGTGATTGGATTACAGGCTTGAGCCACCGCCCCGGCCCAAATGTGCAGTTTTGAACACAGTTTCTGTGGGCTTCCTAAGGCCCTGCAAGGACAATGACAAATGCCACCTGTCTGGTGGCCTGGGCAGCCTGAGGGAGATTCTATGCTCAAGTCACGAGGCCTCTGAGGAACAAGGTGGGGATGTGGGGGGAGGAAAGGGTGCAAGGGCTCTGGATGCCCAGCCTGACTTCTCCAACCCCTCTCTGGCCCCTCTCTGTCCAACCCCTCTCTGGCCCCTCTCTGTCCAACCCCTCTCTGGCCCCTCTCTGTCCAACCCCTCTCTGGCCCCTCTCTGTCCAACCCCTCTCTGGCCCCTCTCTGTCCAACCCCTCTCTGGCCCCTCTCTGTCCAACCCCTCTCTGGCCCCTCTCTGTCCAACCCCTCTCTGGCCCCTCTCTGTCCAACCCCTCTCTGGCCCCTCTCTGTCCAACCCCTCTCTGGCCCCTCTCTGTCCAACCCCTCTCTGGCCCCTCTCTGTCCAACCCCTCTCTGGCCCCTCTCTGTCCAACCCCTCTCTGGCCCCTCTCTGTCCAACCCCTCTCTGGCCCCTCTCTGTCCAACCCCTCTCTGGCCCCTCTCTGTCCAACCCCTCTCTGGCCCCTCTCTGTCCAACCCCTCTCTGGCCCCTCTCTGTCCAACCCCTCTCTGGTCCCAGGCATGGGGCTGTGGAAGGCAAGGGACCACTTGCTACACTTAGTCAGAGGGAGAGAAAGTGTACTGTACCAGGAAAGAAACTTGCTAGGGGCTTACAGCAAGCTGGGGGTCCACACTAGGGAGTCTGCAGCCCCCAAACTCTGTGCCCCAAACCCTCCCGGGCAGTCCCGCGGCATCGGACACAGCCTGGAAGACCATTCTGGGGTGAGCGTGGGGTGCAGGCTTCACACAACAATGCCCGCCATTATTTCAGGCAGGCAATCTGTCTTTTTCATTTCTGGCATATGGCAGGAAATCAATAAATGTGTGGAGAATGAATGGAGGAGTCAGCCCATTAGATGTGAAAGAGTTATTTAATAAACACTTATGTTTGCCATGTGCCAGTCATTAAGTGTTTTATATAACTCACTTAATCCTGGTAAGAGGCCTATGAGTCAGTACTATGATTGTTCTCATTTTAGAGATGAGGAACCCGAGGTACAGAGAGGCTAAGTAATTTTCTCAGGATAACACAGCTGATAAGGGCAGTGCTGGGTGAAAGCAAGTACAGCCTGGTTCTAGGGACCCTGCTCTTGGCTGTGAGGCTATGCAGTGGCTTCAAGTTGAGAGAATTGCTCCTCAAAGGCAATGGCCTTGCCCACATCATAAGGACATGTCTACTGATTAGACTGTGTCTCCCTCAGCCCATCCTGCTCTGGGGTATCTGATATTTTCCCCAGCCTTTTCCCTCCCTCACCCCCTGCTCTGGCCCTGAGACCCACGGGAGCCTAAGCAACAGGGTTTTGTCCCAGGGGGTGCTGCAGGAGTTTTGGACCTTTGGGATCAGTGGCACCAGTGCAAGGTACCTTGATTTGAAGTTGGGGTGGGGTCCTGGAAGCCCAATTTTACGCTGGACGCAGGCAAAAGAGAGTGAGTGATCTGGGAGACTCAGGATTTCTTGGTTTGAGACTCCAGTAAGGAAATGGGCTAGGATGTGGCAGCAGGTGAGGTTGGACTCTGTCTGCCGCACGTCTTCAACACCGGAGCAGGGCAGAGGTGAGCCAAGGACTGTGGGGATACCAAGGGCATGTTCATTGCCCAAGTGGGTGCAATCTCCCTAGGACATGAGCAGCCACTTGGGCTGTGGCTCCAGATGCTGTTGAGCAAGGGTCAGGAAGTGACTCAGGCCTCCGACTCTGCTGACACTGACCCCTACTCTGGGCCTGACTGGCCCTACGTTACTCAGCAGCCAGGCAGCCTGGGGGGAGCCCTTGGAGGATCCAGTCAGGGAGCCATGAGTGGGAGGGGAGGAGAAGAGGGTCACTCAGGTCATTCTGGATGCCCTGCCTCCTCAGCCTGAGGCTCTCTCCTTTTGAGTTCCAAGGGTCCTTTGCTCTTCTCCTTTCCAGACACCAACCCAACCAAGGTTGTCTTGTTGGTTTCTGCACTATGAATGTGGAGGCAGGGGTTCAGGAAACCAGCTTTGGAATGAGGCCTGCATTTGCATCTCTTCTCTGTCATTACCTGCTGTGTGACCTTGGGCAAAGTTTGGTCCCCTCTCTGAGCTTCAGAGTCCTCCTTGTGAAATGGGGATAATGTTAAAGTATGACAAGCATATTGAAAAAGCCTTAGGATTGTATCACTTCAGGTGTCGTGTAAGTATATTCCTCACAACAACCCACTGAGGTAGGAGCTTTCAATGCCTCCAACCCGAGATCACCAGAAACACACATGTGGGTGAAGAAGCTGAGCTGATGACTCCTTGCAGTGAGGGAGAGCATGCACCATGGGGATCACAGGTGTCCCAGGAAGGGGCATTAGAAAGGATTTGGTCTAATGTTGGAGTTGTGTTAGGTGATTTGGGAGGGGTGAAGGAAGCGGGGCTTTGTTCTGGGTTGATGCCGTCAGGAAGTGGAGGTGACACTGTGATTGGGAGTCTTGATGCGTCTTGCCTAGAAGGAAAGCCGTCTAGAGCAAGGTGAAGCTACAGCTGGTCAAGCAGCAGCCTCCACTCAGCTTAGCTCTACGGGGGGATTTTGGTCATTTCTGTGGTTTGGACAAAATTCATGTTTTGTTCGTGTTCTAATATGATTATAGAGTAGTTTCATTTTTGTCTTGGTCTGTTCTGGTCAGGGATGGCCTTGTTCGCTGCTGATGTCTGTGAAATTCTCTATGTTTAGCACAGCAAGACCGAATTGCACCAGGCTGGACAGCTCCGAGCAACCAAGTCCTGGCTGATGGGACCAGGCAGCTCCCAGATGTCAGGGCTGCTTGGTCTATTTCAATATAATTATTCCCCTAGTACACATGGAGAGAACTGAGGCGCAGACAGGTTAAGTAATTTGCCCGAGGTCACACATTACTAGGAAAGTGGTGAACATGATCTTCATTCCTGGCATCTGGCTCCAAAGTCTGCACATTTAACCATGAACTAGAATGCCTGGTGCCCAGCAAATACCTGAGAAGGGGCTGTTGTCGTATTGTCTTCTAACTAGTCTGTGATCCTCTGGAGGCAGAGACATGGTGTGGGGATTGATGACTGGTTTATTAGAGACTGAGGCAAAAGCCCCACATAACTATGAGGCTGTCGCATCCCCTATCCTGGTCTCCCGGACCCCATCTTGCCCCAGGAGCACAGCAGCCACCCTCCCTATTCCAAATGGCAGGACCAACATGAACATCCTCACCACGAGTCCTCCAAAGATATAAGAAAGCGTGACACATCCGGGGTCCACTGAGGATGGGAAAGGCCAGGGAGTCCTAGAGCTCTGGCCCCAGCTCTAGAGATTCCTATGCTCTTTAGGGCTTTCAAAACTCCATGAAACAAGCAAAATTGCAAGGAGGCAGGGAGATGCAGAAGAAAGACTGCACCTGTGGGCTGCTTTGTGGTGTGGTAAGCTGTGTGATCTTAGATAAGTTAGTTGGCTCCTCTAAGCCTCAGTTTTCTCATTTGTTAAATGGGAGTGGGTGATAAGACCCACATCACAGCACTGTTGTGAAGACTAAAAGAGATGACTCGAGGAGTATCCAGTTCACCTTGGCACACAGTAGGTCTTGCCAGAGGCTCCTTCCCCAGTGAACTGTGTCAGCTCTGCCCGGGCACATCAGCTGCCCGACCCCAGCCGCTGCTCTTTGGCTGTCCAGTCCCTGCCCCAGAAATGATCCCCTCGGTGACGGTCAGCTCAAACTCACATCCAACTCCTCTATTAAGTTTTTTGCCAGATACTCAGCACAAGGATTCATTGACCCATTTATTCAACATATATTTGTTGGCTGGGTATGGTAGCTCATGTCTGTAATCCCAGCATTTTGAGAGGCTGAGGCAGGAGGATCGCTTGAGCCCAGAAGTTTGAGACCAGCCTGGGCAACATGGTGAAACCCAGTCTCTAGTAAAATTTAAAAAAAAAAAAAAATTTAACCAGGTTTGGTGTGTACTCCTGTGGTCCCAGCTACTCGGGAGGCTAAGGTGGGAAGATTGCTTGAGCCTGGGAGGTTGAGGTTGCAGTGAGCTGCGCTCCAGCCTGGGCAACAGAGCAAGACCCTTCCTGTCTCAGTAAACAAATCAATAATTTAAAATGTTGATATTTAATACATTTGGTTGAACCAAACGTAATGGCAGGTGGTAT